CTCGCGCTATGTTAATGCAACGAACGTATATTCGTCGCGCAAAACTTTGACCGACGAAAAATCTCATCGTCCCGCGAAATATTGTGCAACGAAGGTTTACCGTCGCTCATTTTGCGTGACAATTCGAATATTTTCGTCGCGCAAAGTCATTCTTTACGATCTTTGCGCGACATATTTTGCGCGACGAAGCTTCTGTCGCATTACTATTTGTGCGACACAAATGTACTTTGCGCGACTAAAACTCCTTCGTCGCGCAAATCCAAAAATTTAGTAGTGAAGGGAGATGTCAAATACCAAACATCAAATTTAAATTTGATGGCTGATGTGGCAATTTGACATCTTACACTTGTCCAGAAATAGATTGAATACTTCAATTATTTTTTAACTTTTTTCCATGCAAGAGTCATGTTTTTCTTGTTGCCATCAACAGCATTGCATTACAACCATATATAGCGCGAAATGACCTGCACAGATAGCTTGTAGGTCCCAAATCTAATATGTTATTTTGTCACAAAAGAAACTTAAGAAATCAAGGGCGTATGCCGCCAACTAACTTGTTTGTCGGTCTAGTGATATTTCTTCTCTCAATATTTAAAGATGTCTGAAACTTAAATCGTAAAGAAGAAAAAAAAACAAAACAAAACTCTTAAATGTGCAATATCTTTTTTAATCTTGAATTTTCATGTTTCAATAATTTGTATATGACCAACCCAACAACCGTCCTTTGAGCATTGGCTGCTCTAACAATCTAAGGATGTTGTGAGATGTTATTTCTAACTGTTAAATGTCTATGTGGCACTTTTGACATATCGGTTGGAGATGCTCTAAAGCACCAGACGAGCTTGGCAACATAGGCCATTGAGCAAAGAATAGAGTGCAAATTGAGAGCACATTGAATCAATGCACTAGGCCATTTTACCTGAGGTTTTTTCAGCTCCATCAAATAGGGGATAGTCCATTAAAACTGCAAGATGGATTTGGGACAAATATAAATTCAATTTTCGAATTAAACCTAAACAAAGAATTTGGAGTTGGGATCCCCAATTCATGTCCACCCAACAAAACGTATCTCCATCCAAGTCTATGTTGACGATGTAAATCAAATACTCATGAACAATTAGGATATTGGTCTTGTATCGAAATCCACCAGAGTCATCATCCAGCAAAATTCAACTAAATTAAAGAATTTCAAAATTACAACAGTTTCTATTTAAATTCTCCTTTGTTGCTCTCCCATCGGACATAATTAGTGTTCGGATTTCATTATGACGCCGCCGGTAGTAAATTTTTCCTTTTACTGATTGATCATCAGCACACATATTTCATTTAGATCATAACAGTAACTCCTACGGTGGTCCTATAGCCTAAAATAATGATTATGTTCGAAATGGAGTATAAAAAAAGGGAAAAATTTTGCTACTATTGGAGCATTTGCTTTGAAACCATAAATAGCGCAACATTATTTGCACTTCAAATATGTTAATGTCAACAAAATATTATGGATCCTTAAGTATAGTTCAGTTTGGACCGATTGGAGTTGAGTGCAAGTCCGTTTTTATGAGTCTAATTTCAAATTTCAATCCTTGTATACCGAAACAATGGCCAAAACACATGATTGAAAAAGCTCACGTTTGAACGCAGCCTAAAATACTAATTATGAAATGCAGAAGCAGGGTATGGGAGTGTGAGTAGCAGCTACCAAAGATGTTGGGATTTGAGAAGATTAGTGATTGACTGAGTAAACACAATGTGAGCTTGACTTATGCTTAGGCCAGCTGTTCATGACTTGGTCAATCTTGATTAACTTTGTTAGTGCGAACTTGTTTATCTCCTTTTGACTTGTGGAGCATAAGACATACCTGATATCATTTCTCAATCGATCTGTCTCCACAAAACTACGGTATTGTGGCACTTTTTGACATCCTCTCTACATGAACTTCTGTCCTTCATATTAGAGACATGTATGCTTTAGTTTACTTTCCTTACATGATTGCATATTGTCTTCAATCCCATTTGCTAATTAAATTTATATGCATGGTCAAACGTTCTGCGTAAAAAATCACCTTCTTACTTTAGGCTAAAGGCGATATAGGATGCTGCATGCTCTTTTTTTTGCCTATGGATAGTTATAAAGGTGCTTGGCATCTATTTCATGGACATATATTTACAATGGATCGCTCTAGTTTAGTGAGAGCTTGTGTCTTGAGAAGTGTGTGCGGGTAAAAGAAAGGTGGATTCATAGATATATTTGGGCACAAATAAAGGGTCTACTATTGACATGATATTAACCCTAACGGAGTTCTAACTGTACTGAGCTACCAACTAACTCTTAATCTAGTGGGTATTTCTCTTCCCGAAATTGGAATCATCACAACCCTCCCCGGTTGTTAAAAAGGAAAAACATGTAGTCCACGAGTTAACAAGGCATATATTTATCGCAAACAAGTATATGATCATGAACACTAAAGCTGGGGATAAATAACAAAGAAAAAAATTAGTGTGAATAATGTTTTGCTATGATCAGCCGTAACATTGGAAATTGCTATTTCCACTTTCTAGTCGGAACTACAGATAACACGGACTAGAAAATGTGTTTTCACAGCTCTCGTTGTCATTGAAGACATGAAGAAAACTATAAAGGAATGCAGCCACATTCTGATTCCCTGTATGCTAGAGCCTAGCCAGTTATGGCCAAAACGTCAAAGCACTAACATGGAGGGTTCGGATGTACTTTCTGCCACATGAAATTCAACCCATGTGAGAGCTGATTGGAGGTACTTTTTTACCTAGTAAAAGTTGTAACTAAGAAATACAACCGTAAACACCTGCAGATCAGACTAGTCAATAGAATAAATATCCCAACTGCACGCAGTGCCAACACATTTGGACCCATGCAGGTGCAGAAGACCACAGGTAAAACTTTTAAGACTTCAAAATCCTAAGTTAAAGCTCAATGCAGTCAACATAAATCAAAGGTAACTTGAATTTGATACTTCAGTCAAGTAAAAATATTAGAGAGAAATTAAAGTTGTTAATTAATTATAAATCAAAGAAATGAGAAATAAAGAGATGGTCAACTTGATCAAAGTCTGACTGAAAAGCAAACAAATCCTACTCAGTTCAATATGGCTAGCCTTTTTTCTGAAATTGAGACACCAAATCCCTTGTGGTCCAAATTCATTTACAACCCTCCAACCCCAGTTACCATGTACATTGGTGTCATTTGAGGCCAAAGTAGGTTGACTCTGCAAAAACAGAATGAACTGTGGGCATTCTTTGTTGGCAGGTTTCATAGTCTGAAACCATCTGAGTACTATAAACCAGGGAATTTATGTCTCCCCAACTAATTTCACTCTCTGCAGAAGTAGTACTAGTTCCTGTGCTACCGTTGTTCAGCGTCTTGGCCGCTTGATAAAAGCCATCCAATTGCTGATGCTGATGAGGAAAGTTGTTGCCATAAACCACCAATTCACTTAGATGATGATCAGCCGGTAGATTGTTGTTGTGATCATCAAGGCCATGAAACATGGTTGGACTACTTGAACCCCCACCATTATTATTAGCATCATAGTGTGTGCTTGCAAACTGATCAGCAGCATAAATATTGTTGTTGGGTGCTGAAGTACAAGTAAGCACATCAATGGAGTTCTGATAGAATTGATGATCTGATGAGGAGCTGGGGGAAATGTCAACAGGGTACAGAAAATTTGTGTTGGTGGTTGTAGTGGTAGTATTGTCAGCTGAAAATCTTCCTCCAAGTTTGATGAGCATGTTCTTAATGGAAGCCTGGTCCTTGATGAGTTGAGGCTCATGTGTTTGATAATTCACCATGGGCACTGCCACTGGTAGCTCTGGAGCCCAGTAAGGATTTTGGTTCACAAACCCAACTGGAAGGTTAGCAAAATTTTCAGCGCTTTCTGATCTTTTAATCATCTCTTGCTTTAGGCTGCTGGCGGCACGGCGGCTCTGCTGAGCCTGTTGTTGCTTGCGCTGCTTACCTAAGAGCTTTTTCTTCAGTCTTGTGTTCCAGTAGTTCTTAATATCGTTGTCAGTTCGCCCTGGTAACTGGGCTGCAATTATAGACCACCTATATACGGAAAAGGTACTTAAAATTAAGAGCACGAGAAAGAAACTAAATTAGGATATAGGCTTGAAATTTTATAATATATATATACCTGCTTCCAATACTTATATAGAGGCTGCAGATGATATTGTCTTCTTCCTCTGAAAAACCTCCATGCTTGATATTCGGCCGGAGATAGTTCAACCATCTAAGGCGACAGCTTTTACCACACCTTTTAAGGCCTGATCATGAGAGCAGCACAATATTAATCATAATGATCAGATGATCAGCTAAAAAGAAAGTCTATTATTAAACCTGTTAACTGATTTGAGAGGAAGATTTCAATTAACTATACTGACCTATCTTCTGGGGCAAGGCAATCCAGTTGCCGCCGGTGCCATGCTTCTCAATGTAAGCCTTGAGGGTGGCATCTTCCTCAGGTGACCAGGGACCTTTCTTGACATTGGCTTTGTCACAGCAAGGAGCTCTCCCCATGGCTTGGGCTTTGGCTTTGGCTTTTTGTGATCTGGGTTATGTTGTGATGTGAAGGCAGGTTCAGGTACTAAGCTAGCTCTATATAAGTATATATCAGCTGCTTCCACTTGATGATGATTTGATGATGATTTGATAAAGATAATGATAATGTTAATTAATATAATATAATATATGCAAGAGAGAGAGAGAGAGAGAGAGAGAGAGAGAGAGAGAGAGAGAGTATAATAGCTGGAGAAAGAGGGAGAGGGGCATGGAAAGGGTCACAGAATTTCAAAAAGGTGAATTGGAGAAAAAAAGGATGAGCCTTTACGTATAGAATATTAGAGAAATTGGAAATGCCAGAACAGGAGACCAGGGTTTTATCTCATTGTCTTTCTCACTCCAGAATATCTCTCTCTAAAACACACACTATGTCCGCCATCCACCTTGACTCTCTCTCTCTCTCTCTCTCTCTTTGTGGAACATAACATAGTGGATGGTGATGATGTTGAAGAAATAAGTGACGCAACTCTAGAAGGTTTCAAAGAGTTGAAGCAAACAAATCAAACATCAGCTTGGTTTGAACTCTTCCTCTGGTTTATGACTATGAATGGTTCCTTCCTCATCAGTTATGCCTGCAATAATGAGGAGAACCATTCATCATCTTGATCATAACTCAAAAGGGCCTAGTCAGGATCTTTTTATTTTATTTTTATGAGAGGCCTAGTCATGATAGGTTTAGGCATGACTTAAATTATTATTATTTTTTATATAATTAAAGAGCTTGACAGTTACCTAGCAAGTCTTTTTTTTTCCTTTTTTTTTCTCTTTTTTTTATCAAATAAGAAACTTTCATTCCAGCAACCAAGGCCGAAGAAAACATACAACCAAGGGTAAGAAAATAAATAAAAGGAACTACATATAATTAACCAGGCTTCATGGTTTATATATAAATATGGTTTAGTGAAATGACCCTTCCAAAAGTCTTAACCTCTGGTTTTTTGTTCTTTTCTTTTCTCGGATATCGGAGTCGTTGGGGTTGGTTTTCGATGAAAATATCAAGAGAGTTTTGAGGAATTTAGGGACAATATTTTGTGAAGAAGCACAGCACAAAGTCAGCCTCCCTAGTGGATGAAGCAATAACAGACTGTTTTTAACTTTTCTTAAAAATGAGTCCTCCAGCTAATAGGAACAAACCACCAAAAGTAGATTTTATTCACTTGAAAAGCCCCAACTCTTTATCAATTATTATGCATTTTCTTCACCTGGATAACATAGAAAGGCAAGAAATTATTACTCTAAGATGAAAAGAAAATTGGGTAAGGGATACAATCTTCATCCTCGGATTCGACTACGTGACGTCCTCACATCCTCGGATTCGATTACATTCATTTTGAGCCTCTCGCATTTCATATTGTGAGTACATATATAAAGTAATAAATATTTATTTTTTCATTCAACAACCCCTGCATGACTTCCTCCCACAAAATTGAGATTGGGTGTCATTAGATCGAACTGTTGTTGTCACATTAATATAAGAATTGATCCGTGAGTCATCTCACATATTAATTAATGTGTCAATAATCATGTGATTCATCTCATATTAATGTGTCAATAACCATGTGATTTGATCTCATTATCTTAGCTAACCACATAAATTATAATGCATTTATTGATACGCACTCGAGGAGGACGGAGGGCGGAGCCACCCTTAAACTGGGTGGTATTTAACCTAATGCAAGTTTTTGAAAATACATCAATTTGGTGCTAATTGTTAGGAAATTCATTGCATTATATCACTGCACTCCATCACTACAAGAATTGGTCCAGTGCACCCGAACAACTCCGTATACAAAGTCACTCAGCCATCCACATATAATAGATAGAAAATCAAAATTATAGCCCTATCATATAAAAATTTATAACTCCGTCCTTGGATGTACTTTATAACATCAATTATTGTAACCAGTTGCTAATAATATATCGACAGACAAATGTGTACGCTAAGGCAGTTAGAAAAAGTAAATAATCCCTCTAGTATATTGTCCTATGAACTTTGAAGAGATCAAATAATTTTGAAGTATTAAAAGATCAAATAATTTTGACTTGTCATATTCTGTTAAGAGATTTATTCTACTCATCTTCTAATTATAGACAACATAGATTGAAAAATCTAGAAGTCGGGAGGGGCCATGAGGTACTACTATTGTTGTGTGGAATATACTGGAAAGGTTTTTCGCTATGGTAGGTGACCGAATCACCACCAATAGAAGAAGAAATCACCCCGAAATTACCATTACCGTGAGATTAAAGCAAAACCTGTGATGTGATAGTAAGATATGATATGACAAAGGGGATTATCTGACCTGGGACATGGCCTACAAAGGATTTTGAAGCTGTGTTACGTGGGCGACTGTCAACCATCTATGCATTTACATAATAAATTAACAGCTAACAATTATTCATACGAGCCGTCTATACATTTACTTAATAGATTAACGACTGACAATTATCCATGCGAGCCAATGACTATTCTCAGCATCAACAACTTCAAACACACAACAGATGCATCCACCATCGATACAAACTTTGCAGCAATAATGGATAGCTTTTTAGATACCAAAAACAAGATACAACAAGAGTTTGATTTAATTATTTAAAATTTAAATAACATTTGCTGGACCATCGTAAAGGAACCAATTATGCTAATGACACATGCCATTTTTTAGACCTAAAGGCAAAATATAATTATGCTAAAGACTTTAAAAGAGACTAGAGTGCTTGTTTATATTAGCAGTCAGCAGCCAGTGATGCCATAGAGGAATCCCACTGTCACTTGTATTACATCAGATCTTAGACCTTCTTGCCTGTCTTTTTGGGGTCTGATTATTATTATATTGTACAGTCCTTAATTATTAAATAATCTTTAATCTCGTGCATGAGAGGCACAGCTTATAATCAAAGGAAAGCACATAGAAAAGAAAAAATGAACACCAAAAAAGAAAAAAATGGCTGCCTTGACCCAGTATGAAAGGGTAAAAAGTCAAAGGTAGGCTGGTTGTTGATTTTTCACAAAACTTAGATTTGTCTTTCGATTTTTTTTTTTTTTAAAATTGGGTTTTGTTGTCGTATATTATGTGGTCAGAACAAGTGTATAAAGTTTTAAAACAAAAAATGAAAGTATATATAAAGTTCCTAACGAAGAAAGAAGAAGAAAAAGTTGCCAGTGATAAAGTGTGATTGAAGGAAGTACACTACTTTTAATGAAGAGAAGGAAATGGTCTTCTTGGTGGGCCAAGTAAACGGGCCTACCTCTCTCTCTCTCTCTCTCTCCTCTTTTATGAGTGTGATCGAAGTCGAAGACCTATTCTTGGTGTGAAAGAGTTATTGTGACTGACAGGTTTCAAAGCAACACAGCTCAAGGCCACTTTTTTCTCGAGGCATTTTCTAACCAAACCATTTGTATTGCACGAGTACATTTGATTGACTAGTGGAAACAAAGCTGTTCTTCATGTGAGCTAGCTTCTATAGAATGTTGTATTAACTAATTACTATTTGGAAGTGATTCTGGAAAGGTTGAAAGCGGTTCATGACAACAACAAAACGTTTATAATTGCATTTGACAGAAAAAATTAAAAGGATTCATAGGTCATAAAAACACTTTCTAAGGAAACATCTGCCTGGTATTTTTTAAGAAAGTGGATATTTCTTCAGAAGCACCTTGTTTGAAAGGGATTTTTTATTCATCATTTTATTGCTTTGAAATTGTTATCTGGCGCTTAACCAAAATTTGCTTCCAATATGTAAGTGACTGGAAATTTCCCACCATTGGAAATTGGACTAAGAGGGAGAATTATAATGCTGCACAACATCTGAATTCTGAACCATGTATTATATATACAGGAGAATGTCAATTTAATCAGAGAACAAATTATAAAATAATCTGTTTTTCCTCATCAATGTTGATTCTTGAAGTATCGTCTATTATAGTCCACTAAAAATAATTATATTTCTTTCTTTATAATAAAACCATGCATATAATTATATTTATTTCTTTATAATAAAACCATGCATTTGTAAAATAAAGAAAACAAGTTTCTTTTTAGAAAGAACGAAAGATATATCAACATCTAGAAGCTTAAGATCCTTAAATTTGATAGTCGGATCTAGAAACAACCTGGACTTTGGAGCAAAATGCCAAATCCCAGTTCAAGAACGGACTATCTACAAGCAGAGGGAAATCGTCCAAAAAAACCAAGGTAAACAAGAAATAACTAGCAGTCTACCAAAGGATTGATAGTGATCTGCAGCACCAACAGCGGGGGTGTAAAACTCGGATTTTCACTTCAGTATGTTTTTTGCCTTAGCTCAACAGTCCAATCCATCTTGTCCTGTGTGAGGCCCATCTGTAGTCTGGTAAGCACTGAGTAAAGCTTTTCCGACACAGTTCCAAACCCGCCCTCTCCATAAGACACCCTGCACAAAACAAAGATGATTATTTTTTCTTCGAATCTGGTATCCACTCAACTCAGTTGAATGCGGGAGGCCCTATATCTATAAGCAAGAGAGCTTCACATTATGAATAAGAGACATCTATTGCGATGCAATAAATAGCATTTACCATAATAGCTATATATGTGAGCCATATTAAATTGAAAAAGGCATTTTCACCCCTTATAAGAGGTGGACAGAATCAGGAGCAGATTGTTTTCTCCCCCCGCAAACAAGGAAAGGCCGAAGAAGACAACTTTATTTCCCCATATTGAGGAAAAAAAAATTAAATGCCGGAAACCTTTTCCCATCTTGTTGGAGCACAAAGAAAAACTTGCTTTCAGACCAAAAAAGAGAACAGAAAAACACTCTTCGACACATTCACTAGACATAGAAAATTTACCTTTTACCATGGTAAGTGATGCTGCCGACGGGTGATACAACCACAGCTGTTCCCGTACAAAAGACTTCATCAGCATCTAGTAATTCATCAACTGCCACTTGGCGCTCCTCAACCTGCTCATTATTAGATAGGGGTTGGGAAATGAAGTTACTCAATAACACATTTAAGCTACTGTCAGAAAAAGTTGTAATACACGTTGCATACTGAAGAATCAATGCAAACAATTTTTTTTTATTTTTAAAAAGACTAGAACAGTATACCTTTCACTATCTAGTAAACAAGAAGCAAGGACAAGGTTAACAGCAGCAGAACTAAGGAAACACCATCCCCCATCCCCAACACCACAATCACATACAATTACTTTCAATAAGTAACATCAATTATACCTGGAATCCTTCGCTACGAGCAACATCAATTATACTCTTTCGAGTAATGCCGGGTAAGATCGTTCCTTTGATTTCAGGAGTAGAGATAATATTATCCTAGAACACAAGAAAAATTGACATAATTTAGTACATATATGCTTGAGAGTGAATATGACATGACAGATATATGGGGGGTTATGCTGCACGAGATGTTAAGTTACAGTGAAAGAATGCAGTTGAATTTGGGGTCAAACAAGACAGATCATACAATAGTTAAACAAAATCACATATAATTATATTAGAAGCAGTAGGCTCCATTTACATTCAAGAAACAGTGCTGCTTCCAGACTGCTATAGGAGTAAAAATTACATTAGAATTTATTCCAGAAATTAAATGGGTACAAGCTTCTTCTTCAATTATATCAAACACAGAAATGATGAAATGCTAGAGCATTTGTTGTAACATTACGGTATTGATGAAAGGTTGCAATGCTAAAAGTGGATTTCAGTGCTAAAGGTTATTCGACATGCCAAGTAGCAATAAATGGTAAATGTTAGATGTCTTTCATGGCAGCGGCTGTAGCCATGTCTTCATGTTGGTAGCATAATATTGGCAGGTCCATAAGTGCCAACGTCAGTGACAGATGTAACTAAAAGGGCATCAAAATAAGGTGCTTCAAAAGAGTGTTGGTTTGGAAAATGCTGCATTTTCTCAAGTAGTGGAATGGTGATCCCATTCCAGATCATAGCAAGTGCAGGTGGATGATTTTGGCATGCCACTCTCTGAACTCAATAATACCATGAAATCTTAGATTATTGAGAAAGCACGGTTCTTCCAAAAGGATCTAGGCATTCAAATCTAGAATTAAATGCCAACAATGTAGAGAAGGACATATCACAGGATCCTATAATTCTGTACATAAGCAGTTATCATCTAAATGTCCTGCCCTTCCCACCACCAATCAATCATGATATACTGAATGTAAATAATAATAAACATGGTGAATTCCAGTCGCAATACCTTCACAACAAAAATGTTGCATGAGGAAACCTCCTCTAGAAATCTTTTGTGAACACAGTCAAGGTATAGAACATCAGAATAGCCTTTTGCTTTTGCAGCAGACTGAGCCTTCAGAACCTACACATAAATGATTTGATGTTAAAAGATTAACACAACAACAGCTACATACTATAATCTAAGATTAATAAAGTAGAACGACAAAACACCAAGAAGCACTAATTTAACTACAGGAAAATGCTTAGGACGAGACTTTTTTCAGTCATTGACAACTTACTAAAGAAATAAATATTTGATGTTTATAAATTATAAGCCCATCAATGAACACGGCCAGAGCCTCACATTTAAAGAGAAAGTGTGAAACCATATTTGATCACTATGCTATATAATATCTATAAAACTAAATAAAGAAATGTTGCTTTTAGTTCTTGATGAACGAAAAAAATTTGAACCATATGCAGAGGAAAGAAATATAAGTTTGCTGTTTCATAGATTTACACTAAGAAAGTAGAGCTAGACAATGGTTTCAGGGAGCAGACAAGCAAGATTTTTCCAAAAAAGAATTTGGCGAAATTCAGGTAAAAAAGAACTAAACAAGAAGAGGAACACAAACTTACCGCAGCATAATTCCCTATAGTCTTAACACCTCCAGTGCCACCAGGAGTAGCACGATGCAATTCATGCTCAACAATCAAATTTATCGGTGCAACACCTTCCTGCCACCAGATATACAAATATAAGACATTGAATGATTGTCACCAAAAATGCACCCACACTAGCTAAAAGGAGACAAAAATATCACAAAAGTGTAGAACCCAAATGCAAACAACTACATATTTACGTCTAAAAAAGGAAAACTCAATGAAACAAATCTGCACACTCAAATGACAAAAAGATTAAAGAAAAAAAGAACAAAGTGCTGCCATATTTAGTTGAATTATACGTTCAGGCACCAAAAAGGAAGATAAAACTGTGCATGTAAATTATAAGATTCATGACTATGACTATGAGTCACTGAAACATCTGAAACAAGCATCAAAGCTGGTAAATTAATTAAATTGCACAATTAAAATGGGCAATATTTATCAAAGTGAGAGATTCGAACATGGGTTCAAAATTGAACTGAAGCATGAGTTACTGAATTACTTAAAACTGTTTTAAGTTTAAAAACAAAGTGACCATAATAAACCTGGCATAACAAAAATAAATAGAATAAAGTTATTGAAAACAAATTTTAAAGAGAAAATTCACATTTTGTAGATGGAAGTACGAAAACAAACCTTAAAATAGTTTCCAACAGGTGAAACATAAATCAGAAATGTGTACTCAGGAGCAGGTGCCAGACCAAGAACAGCACCACTTCCCATTAGCAATGGCCTGATATATAGGGAACCTTTGCCTGGAGGGGGAACCTGAAACGAGAGATTGACAACTCACTAGTAATATTACACATGCTAACATTCACAAAGAAAATATCTTACTACTGAATCATGGTTGTAAATTACCCAACGTTTATTTGCTAAAACAGTAGCCTTTACAGCTTCCACAAATTGTTCGACAGATGGTGATGGCATACACATTCGCTCTGCACCCAACCTCATCCGCAATGCATTTTCCTCAGGACGAAACAAGAGTATATTACCATCTTGTTTCCTGTAGGCTTTCATACCTTCAAATAATCCCTAAAGAGCCAAACAAAAGAAAGAGTAAACTGGGATAAGACTTTTATCCAAGTAATCATATTACTTAATTCAAATATGTCATTCTCAAACTTTTACTTCATTTTAACTTCATTTTTCAAGGTTTCATTTATCAAGGTTTTGGGATCTACCTCCATGATAATACCTTTCAGAACCCACATATCTCAGAATCCAATATTAGTCCAGAAAAGCATATACACAAACACACACACACACACACACACATACAAGCAATTCTCATGTTGAATGAAATGGAACTGGAGATAAAGATTGAATATTGAACCTGCCCATAGTTCAAGACTCCAGCTGAGGGGCTCAATTCAATGTTCCCAAAACGCTGTAATTCACCTTTAGAAAAGTTTTCACCTTGAGCACATTTCATGACGTACATATAATCAGTAGAAAGAAACGCAAAGCCGAGGTTGTCCCATTCTATGTCAGCTAATTCACTTGTTTCAGTGCTGAACCCAACAAAGGCATGTCAATGCACAAAACCAAATCACATAACAAAACTAAGAAAACAAACAAAAAACAACAAATAGTGATATGAAATTCCACAAATTGTTCGACAGATGGTGATGGCATACACATTCGCTCTGCACCCAACCTCATCCGCAATGCATTTTCCTCAGGACGAAACAAGAGTATATTACCATCTTGTTTCCTGTAGGCTTTCATACCTTCAAATAATCCCTACAGAGCCACACAAAAGAAAGAGTAAACTGGGATAGACTTTTATCCAAGTAATCATATCACTTAATTCAAATATGTCATTCTCAAACTTTTACTTCATTTTAACTTCATTTTTCAAGGTTTCATTTATCAAGGTTTTGGGATCTACCTCCATGATAATACCTTTCAGAACCCACATATCTCAGAATCCAATATTAGTCCAGAAAAGCATATACATACACACACACACACACACACACACACATATAAGCAATTCTCATGTTGAATGAAATGGAACTGGAGATAAAGATTTGAATATTGAACCTGCCCATAGTTCAAGACTCCAGCTGAGGGGCTCAATTCAATGTTCCCAAAACGCTGTAATTCACCTTTAGAAAAGTTTTCACCTTGAGCACATTTCATGACGTACATATAATCAGTAGAAAGAAACGCAAAGCCGAGGTTGTCCCATTCTATGTCAGCTAATTCACTTGTTTCAGTGCTGAACCCAACAAAGGCATGTCAATGCACAAAACCAAATCACATAACAAAACTAAGAAAAGAAACAAAAAACAACAAATAATGATATGAAATTAGGACAACTAATGAATAGTTTGATTAACCAGACGAATCAAAGCAAACAATGTGTTTATAATCAATGAATTTCACAATTTCCTGAGCGTACAAGAGCAATAATGAAGATAATAATAACAACAAGAAGATTTAAAAGAAACCCAAAAAGAATGAAGAGACTTTACACAAAAGTATTAGACAATGTGGCACATCGATGAAAGGGCAAACAAAAAACAACAAATAGTGATATGAAATTAGGACAACTAATGAATAGTTTGATTAACCAGACGAATCAAAGCAAACAATGTGTTAATAATCAATGAATTTCACAATTTCCTGAGCGTACAAGAGAAATAATGAAGATTATAATAACAACAAGAAGACTTAAAAGAAACCCATAAAGAATGAAGAGGCTTTACACAAAAGTATTAGACAATGTGGCACATCGACGAAAGGGAGAGGGAGAGGCTGCTTGATAAGAAGCCAAAGGAAGCTGCTTTTGGAGCTGCAAAGAAACAGTGGACAGAACCCAGTTTCAAAATTAAGATAAAACATCGAATAAAAATCCAAAAAAGAAAAAAGAAGCATTCATATTTGAGATTCATGGGTGGGATGATGGGTTGTACCTTGACAGAGAGAGAAGGAGAGGAATGGCAGGTGGAGAAGGGGCGGATGAGAGGAGTGGAAGAAGGATTGCGGGAGGGGCAAAGTGGGAAATTTGGCTGAAGACCTCCAAGGACGGCGCTGCTCTCCATCTCAAACTCGACCTCACTCTGAACTCAACACGTTTCCGAACACCAAAAACCCTCTCTTCTTTTTGTCTCTCTCGCCCCCTCTGAATATCTCAATATCAATAATATGGAAGAGAGCAGAAGGGGGGGACTTTCAATTACAAGCTCGTGTTTTTTATTTTTTATTTTAGTCGTCGTTAGGCAACTAAAAATGAAATAATTTTCTAATTGAAATTGGGAAATACATATAATTCACGACTCTGGGTGAATTTCAGTAGCAGCCAAGCCAATTCAATCTAATCCAATCACAAACCACATTTAATCCAATCACAAACCACAATACCATTAAACTTGCGCACTAAATGAGGAATCTTAAAATAAAAGATAAAGAAAGTTATTGTCAATTATAGGATATATACTTCACTAATATAAGCTAATTGGAAAAAGATTCATGGTTCCATTTCCGTCAATTGTCAATTATAGTACCAGCACACATCTGAATATTTATGTCACTTTACGACCAATGAAAGTGATGGCTGTCCCTGGATAGATTTCGTTTTTGCCTACCCGTCTGCTGTTTGATTCTTCAACTTTATTTTTTTTGGGTTGCATCTACTGGCCTACTATTACGAACCAACCAGCTTTTTTGGGGTAAAACTGTAACACAAGAAAGTCAACTTACTATTTACAGTTTTTTTTTTTTATTTGTTTGACTTAGTATACATATTATTTATCTATTTGGAGTCATATGTCAATGTTACTCAATTGGTGAAATAACTTTTAATAACGCTATTGTGGTTGAACAGGGTCTCAAGCTCAACCCAAATCAAATATTTCATCCAAATTCTTTATGTTAAGACCAAGGTCTAAATTATCGATGGTTTCGAAAAGATTGTTAGTCCAAAAATACGGAAATTTCAATGGAAATATCGGAATATTATCGATATCGATAAAAATTAAATATAAACCACGGAAATTGTAAGAAAAACTTGGAAATTTTTCTTGAAATTTTGGAGGATGTTTATTTAGTTAATCGTATATTACTTTATCACAAAAAATTGGAAAATAATGCATTGCATGATGGGTTTAACTAATTTAAGTTGATTATATAGCGAGCTCACAAACACTGCGAGTGTAGAAAATATGTAGTAATTAATGAAAGAAGATTAAACACACCATAATTATTTATTTATAATGATTTACTATAATATTTTACACTTTATACATTGTATGGTAAGATACATGAGTGACTTAGTACCACATAGAGTTCCTATAAGATTCAAATTTGAGTTATTTACACTAACACCTCCTGAGGGTTTCAGCTTTTTCACAAAACTCCTTGAAGTTTTAGAAATTACAAGAACATCCCCTTGAAGTTTTAAATTGTTTTCACAAAACTCATTTTCATTTATTTTTCATCCAAAGATTGATGATTTTATACCCAAAAAAAAAATCTCCAAATGAGAAATTGGCCTTTGAGATTAGATTGCAAATACTTCATTGAGGTTAATTTTGTCATTTGCATAAGTTTTTTTTTT